ATCAAAACCGAATTGCAATTGGATTAAATAAAAGAATGAAACAATTTATTAATTATATAACTGTCATATTTAATTTACCTGTTGTTTGTTTCGAAGTCACGTTTGGCTCAGTTTGTAGTACCTCCTTGCTGTGCCAGCGGTCGCGGATTCGAGTCCCGCTGGGGGCATTCATTTGTGTGATGAGCATGAATGTAGTACAGGAATACACTCCAGTCATGTGTATTTATATTTATAATATGTATGTATTTAATGTTATATATGTGTAGTGTATCAACTATCTGGTATCCACAACACAAGCCTCGTAGCTTACCACAGAACTAGATGGCGCTGTGTGTAATTAATGTCCCCACTTATTTATTTATTTATTAATTTTATGAGGTCATGCCATTATATAAAATTTCTTTTGAAGACGCTTAAAGTCTATTGTATAACATTAATGGTAATCGCCATGTTGTTTGTCCGTCCCGGCGCGACGTTGACAGATTGTGGCCAAACTGCATCTAATGGAGGGAAGATTAATGGCCTTTTGAATTAAATTGGTAGAGTTAGGCTGGAGTTATAGATAATGATATAAGTAATTTCATATTACAATTTTTTAGTCTAACGAATATTTAAATATTTTTGAAGTTATAAGTACTTCATTTTGCACGTTTGGAAAAAATATGAGAGTAAAATTTTTACGATGCGCGCGCTCACCAACAGCCAAAAAGCGACATGACGAAGTTAGCTGCATTCCTTTAACAAACAGAGAGTTGTGACATACCGGATGAAATCTTTAGCTATTTTTGTTCTTTTACGCCAAAGAAGTATAACTTCTTACGTGAGTACATACACACATACGATTTTTTCTTCAGTTAAATAACTGCCAATATTACAACTCGATGCACAGCTGTCCGCTTGAGTAACTAAGACTTTCGAGTAGATAGTTCTAATTTAAACCACTACACGATCATACGCTGATGTTTTTTTCAAGAGTTCCTATAACCAATTCTAATAAAATCGAGTCAAACTCGATTGATTCAGAACTCGAAACTACCGGGACTAAAATACTGATTCGAATTAATTAATTTAGTAGGTATGTTATGTGCATTTAAAAAGTACTCAGAGACGGCTAAGGTGAGCAGCTACTACGAGTGTCTATAGTATAAATATTTTTCATAGGAATATGTACATATTCAAAGAAGGCATTTATTTATATCTATACATATAATAAAATTGTAACTAAGCCGAATCTGTACATTAAATATTTTTTGGAAAATCTTATTGAAATAGACATTATTATCGAGACAGAGACCGAATCTATAGATTTTAGAATTTTTGTCTGTCTGTCTGTCTGTGACTGCAGCACGTAAAAAACCAGAGGGAAAGAATTTTGACGAAATTTGGTATATTGGTTTGGTGGTTTTACTGCGAGAAAAATATCTTATCTCTGTGAAATCTATACTAAACGTTAAAACGTAAGTAGGTACGAACCCGAGTGAGTCACTAGTAATATATAAATATTTGCCTTATATAAGTATATATTATGTATATATGTATATAGTGGCAATTTGCAGAACATAATATGAGTGTCATAGAGGACGCATATTATAAATAGTTTTATTTCTATTGTAAAAATATCTTACTATAATTTTAAATAATCTCAGTGTAATTTATTCGAGTTTCTACAATTATACATTATCAAAATTGCGATCAAAAAAACGTTAGTACACTATCTTTCTGTACATGTTTGAGATTTCGTCTTAATGGTTTATTACTTTATGAAACTAAACGTTTTCAACTAAGTAAAAATGTAGTTTGACGATACGTTTGGCTCAGTTTGTAGTGATCCTACTTGCTGTGCCAGCGGTCGCAGGTTCGAGTCCCGCTGGGGGCATTCATTGTGTAGCACGAATGTTTGTACTCCAGTCATGGGTGTTTATATTTATAATATGTATGTGTTTAAAGTTATTTATGTGTAGAGTATCAACGATCTGGTATCCATAACACAAGCCTCGTAGCTTACCCTGGAACTAGATGGTGCTGTGTAAAATGTCCCAACATATTTTTTTTACTTATTTATGTAAGCTTTAAAGTGTAAAGGTTTAAAATTTTAACGACTTTATTTCTCTTTGATTGTCTTTTAGGTGTTAGAATCAGAGGCGTAGCTATGCCAATACAACCAATGCGGTCCCTTAGGCATTTTTTTTAACGTTGGAAATGCATTTACACACGAAGTGTGGGACTCACCGGCAAAGCCAGTACTACCCACTGAAGTGAACTTAAAAATACGGTACAGACTACACAACCCTCATCTTTATTCGATTTCGGTTACGATTCGGACTTAGCCGTATTTTTTTAAATAAATTATTCAAAACGAGCATTAGAAAAAGAAAATGTACATCAGATCTATCCCACGGGAACCGTTCATTTTCCGGGATAAAAAGTAACCTGTTGTTGGACCGGCAATGTATAAGGTATCAGCAAGCCAAATTTTACTAAATTAGGTTCATAAGTTTTTGTGTACTAAGCTGTATAAGTTACTATAGTTTTTTAACTATCCGACGGGAATTCTTTAATTTTCCGGGATTAAAGTATCGAAAATGTTGACTAGGGATATAAGGTACCACCATGCAAAATTTCATTTAAATCGATCCGACAGTTTTGGAGCTCGTACAAACAGACAAACAGAGAGAATCAAAAAGTTTGAAAAAATCTGGATTTGTTCTATTTCTCTTCTTACATCTCCCCGACTCGGTTTTTAGCATTTTTTTCTATGTACAGATATTCGACCTCTACAGTTTTATTATATGTATAAATATGTATATGCAATAGATTTTTCGCGAACTAATGTGAAACTGTGGAATTCAGTTTCAACCTTGAGCATCAACAAATAAGTCGATACAAACCACATAAGTACTAAAATAGCTTCCATTTATTTATATTTGTTTTCCAACACCATTATTCATTCTATAAGAAAAGTTTACGAGCGCGTTCGTTGTAAATTTTACATTTTCAATACCGGTTACATGCTACAAATAAATCCACACTAATATATAAATTCAAAAGTAAGTTTGTATGTTAATTTTTCAGTCTTTAAATGCTGAACAGATTTGTATGAAATTTGACAAGAAAATAGATAATAGATACGGATATCGGCTTAGAGCAACAATGATTTTGATTAAGTCAGTAGGTATCATAGTTTTTTTTTCAATTTTCCAAACCCTTAAATCTTGTGGACTAAGTAGAGAGAATGTAGAGACGTCACTCCCCTCTCCGTTATTTATTAGTGCTTGATGTGTACTGATGATAACCTCTTGACAGATTTCGGCCACAGCAGCAAACCTTACTGGGACTGCGCAGGAGATATTAAAGTGATGGCGTGTGAGAGAGAGCGCACACAACTTTCCCTCTCGAATCCAATGAGACGATATTTGACTCGACCGGAGATCAGGCACATGATCGAATTCTCAAGGCCTGCTGGTGAGAATTTATTAATAGGAAAATTTAATATATAATTGACCCGACCTAGGACTCAAATACAGAACCTCTGGATTTGCAGCCACTAAACAAACCTTGTATACGCTAGCTAGCGAACCAGACCTAATATTAATATAGTTTTACTATTTATGTGTAATGTATATTATTATATCAAAACTCTACGCAATCTAGGATGTTCTAGTGTTAGATATGTATGTAGCCAGTGAGAGTAATACATATTTCTATTACTATTTTTGTTTTTCACTTAGAGTGCTCAGATGCTTGGGATGTAATAAAAGTCTAAAATACAACTCTTAAAATTTTCGTTTGTTTGTCTATTTTATCGCATATCAATCAACAAACAATCAATCAACAATCGTGAAAAGATGGACAGATTTTCTTGAGGACTAGCATTGCCCGCGGCTCCGCCCACGTTCAGATGACCAAAAACCAAATTCTTAGGTTTCACATTTTAGTATACTCTTTCTTACATGGCAGTTTTTGAGTTTTTTCTTAGAAATGAGACATTTTCCCGCGGTAAAAAGTATCCTATATGTTGACCCGGACACCCAGCTACCACCATACCAAATTTCATCAAAATCTCTCCAGTGATTTTTCTGTGATGCGGTAACAGACAGACAGACAAAAATTCTAAAAACTATAGATTCGGCCTCTGTATCGATAATGTTTATTCCAATAAGATTTTCCAAAAAACATTTAATGTACAGATTCGGCTTGGTTACAATTTTATTATATGTATAGATTTTTAAAGAAAGTGAGAAAATATTATAGCGATTCTTATCGATCCAATGTACAAGAATGGATAGGTAACCTAAAATTCTAAGGGCTACTCACAGCCGAAATATCAATTTTATTTTAATGTCATACATAATATTTAACAAACGTCACATGCTGTTAGTAAGAGGTATTCCGATATTTTGAAAGGATCATATATTATAATAGGCATAGAAATCGAAGGTTGAAAAGAAATACGTATATGGATAAATAAGCAACAATTTCTTTTATAAAAATGTTTAACATTTATTCAACCGTAGCACATAAAGAAGGCAGTGTGGATTACAATATTGAATATTACATGAATAAAAGTATATTTTAATATAAAATAATCTAAACTTTCTAACAACAAATTCATCTACGAATATACGCTATTGTCATTATATTTCATACCGATGTATAAAATTGGAATCTATAGGATAGTATAAGGTATATATACATACATATATAATAACGTGTCATCCTGCAGATTTTGTGTCATAAAAAAAATTAACTGTGATGAAATGAGTAAAACTTTGCTCGTATCGATAATTAAAACATTGTTTTCATTTTTTCTATTATCTTTTATAAATTATAGAGAGAATTTATGAAATTCTTTTTGCGATACAAAAATATCTATAAAAACAGTACATATCCATATTCTTATGGATAATTGACAGAAAACCTGCAATACACAGCTATAATACTAACTAAATGCTTGACTTGGCTCGAAGCCTTGTCTTATACATATACAAAATCTACATTTAAACAAAACTTTCGTTACTTTTAAAGTCGTATACAAATATTTTTTTACTCTCTTGCGCCGGTACGCAGACGAATCTGTTCCTTTCGCACTTCTCGCTAACGTCTAACGTTACGGAATAAACATTATTAGTTTTAACATCTAAGTTCAATATTTGTATTTGTTTATTGTTCTCTGTACTTACATCACTATCGATATTATTATGGACATCAACTTTCACATCACTATATATACCATTCACTTTGACACTATTACGTTTAACGTCATCAATATTTATTATATCACCCAAATTATCATTCAATTCGTTTAGAGCTGCGATTATTTTCATACTATTACGCCTAGTGTTTTCAACATTAATAATTTCTCCTACTTTAACCTGTTGTACTTTTGTATCAAAAGCTTCTTTCACCTCTTTTAATTTCTTACTATCTCTATTGATGAAGAACTTTTGAGAAGATGCTCTGTTACTATATCTTCTCCAAAAAGAGTCACTAGTATTTTGGCTGCTAGAGAAACCTGTTGAAGTTGTCGTGTTAAACGTATCTCTCCTTTGCATGTTTTCCCTCAAATTCCTACCACACCTCATTAAGTTATTTATTTTCAATAACTTTACAAACCCATCCCTAAATTTGGATGACATCAAATTGTACAATATTGGATTTATCGCTGAGTTTAAATACAGCATAACTCTACAAAAATATAAAAGTATATAGTAACCGTCTATGCCTAACGACAATATTGTCTCTGGTGGGAACACTATGATCCATAGAGTGAGAGCTTTGAAAGGGAGAAGACATATGAAAAATGATAGAACAACTGTACCAAGCATTAGAATTACTTGTTTACGATATCTTATAACGTTACCAGCATTGTTTGCGTTTTTACCATGTTGTGATATTATTATTGGATTTTCCATCAGGTTCTTGGCAATGACGCTGTATAGGACCAGGAGTACTCCCAGTGGTATGATAAAGAAGACAGCTATGATGAGTATGAAGAACAGCGCAGACCAGAATGTATCAGCTTGCGTAAGACAGACAGGTACTTCAGTGCCATCTTGATATTTCTCGTGTGTGAATGTCGCCACTCCCAAAATTGGACTGTGGATGGGAAAAATATAATTAATAATTATTTAATGTGGTTTTTCTGTATATCATAATTTTAAATATTCTTCTTAAATGCATATATATATATATATATATATATATATATATATATATATATATATATATATATATCTGTATAAAAATTAACTAATGCGTTTGGAATAAAACCAAAGAGGTGTAAGTTCGCATTTCTTTATATTCATTCAATTTATGAAAGTAAAACTCTACGAGAAAAAAATTATGTTGTACTAATTTATTAAAATTATTTTTGCCAAAAACTTATTGTTTACATTTTTCTAACTTATAGGTTTTCTTCTAAGTACTACTTTATATTGCGCAGGTAAGTGCTCTTGTATCTTGACTATTATATTAAAAAAATCTATCTGTAAAGAGAAAAACCTATACATTTAAAACTAAACTGTGAGAATAAACCCTCGACTTCACAACATCACTTTAACTTCTTACTGTGTATCGTAAAAGTATTTTTCCTGAACAGAAATCGAATCGTTTATGAGCTTTTCCTTTTAACTCGATTGTATTAGCAAATGTATGTAAAACAAATGAATCTGAATTGCTAAAAGTGGCTTATCAAGAGGTAAATAGATAATTTCTCGGAGGAGGATAAATTACCTGCGATTTGGGAATTCGTTTACCCAAATTGTTTTGTACTCTTCAGGCAGACAAATAAAATGAAAGGTATATGTATACTAGCAGAACCCGCGGCTAGGCCCGCGTTCAATCTTCAAAAAAATCTTTTTGGATTTATGTCATACAACGGCTTTTATTTATATAATATTGTTCATACAAAAATACTAAAATCGCGATAAAAATGGGGTGTAGGATAGTCTAAACTTTCTAACAACAAATTCATCTACGAATATACGCTATTGTCATTATATTTCATATCGATGTATAAAATTAGAATCTATAGGATATTATAAGGTACATATACATACATATATAATAACGTGTCATCCTGCAGATTTTGTGTCATAAAAAAAATTAACTGTGATGAAATGAGTAAAACTTTGCGCGTATCAACAATTAAAACATTGTTTTAATTTTTTTTAATTATCTTTTATAAATTATAGAGAGAATTTATGAAATTCTTTTTGCGATACAAAAATATCTATAAAATCAGTACAGTATTGATTCTTATGGATAATTGACAGAAAACCTGCAATACACAGCTATAATACTAAATCCGTCGAGCTGTTTCGGAGGATCACAAACCCCGTGACACTAGATATTTATATACGAGTATAAGAAATTCTAAGCTACGAGAGTGTGTTGAAGATAATAAAAAGTCTGAACTCGTTATCCATCAAAAATCTATAAAATACCAGTATTTTCATATAAATGAAGTGTGGAGATCAATCCGAACCATGTTCAATGTTCATATTGCTCTAGATACTCCATAAAATAAACAGTGTGGAGCTATAAAAATGTTTTAAATATTTTTATATATTATTGAGAAGTTATAAATGAATTAAAACATTGATTTTTTTGATTGATCACGTGGACTGAGTTCCGTATGATTCTATATATTAGTGTTACTATAACATTATATAATCTATACTAATATTATAAAGAGGTAGTTTGTGAGTTTGCGAATTGTGAGTTTGTGACGTTGTAGGGGTTAATCTCTGGATCTACTTAACCGATTTAGATGAAATTTGGTAAGAAGATAGTTTGAGGTACTGGGAAGGACATAGGATACCTTTTATCCCGGAAATCATTCCTATAGGGGGGTGAGAATGGGGATGAAAGTTTGTATAGGGAATCAAGCTAGGGACGAACCCGAGCGAAGCGAGGGTGAGTCACTAGTATTATATATATAAATGAAATAGCAATATACATATGTTTGAATGGTTTGAAACCGACTCAGTTTTGGATAGCTAGCTGGCTGTTACTTGTCATTATTTTCAAGGATTTTACTATATAATCATATTGAAGATGACGGCACGCATTAACGTCTTTTAAAAGTCTTAAAACAATAACAGACTTATAGAACAAGATTCTTTTGAAGTGGAACTAAAATTTTCAGACTCTAAAAGTGAATATTTTAGTGGTCTACGTATTCTAGTTTAAAAGATACAACCTTTTAAAGGTCGGACACTCAGACAGACAAAAATTTATAGATGGACGGACCTATATGTCCAAGTAGAAATAAGTTTAACAGGATTGTTGATCCGTAGGTCTTTGGTTGGTTACGCTTCAGGCTACCTCTATAATTATAGTGTTAATCTGTTCAGAAATTCCAGACGGAGTTGAGAAGCTTGCGATTTTACGGAACCCTAAAAATCCAGCAATTTTAGGCTATATAATAAATATATTATCATATCTTTTGGCGAAATTTATCCATTTTGGGAAAGACAAACATACAGACCACCCAGTTTCCTGAGCCCAATATAATGAGGTAATAATGTTTAAAACAATGTACTATAAATATCATCAGAACAAACAATGGGGCGCTCTCATTGTTGGGAGCCGACGAGAGCTTGCCGTATGGAAACTAGCGTTGACATGTGGCTCTGAACGTATTTCTTTAAAAATAATACAGACATAAAAAATATCTAAAACCATGTTATTGGCATAAATTTTATTTAAATGTGTTTTAAATACATATATTGTAATATGTATTGATAGTATAAAGAAATAATACTTTCAATTCATTAAAAAAGATTCCTTTAGTTTTTTTTCCAGATAAATCAAGTTTGCGGCATAAAGAAATCTATAGTACGAATTTAAATAGCAGAAAAAACTATTTTCAGGAAAACTCATTTAATATTCTTAAACATACTTTTCGTATTAATTTTTTTTTTCTATTATATATAATACTCCAAAATTACTTACCAAAGATACCTGTGAAAGGGTTGAAGGAATAATTTAAGTTAGTGCAGTAGTGATTTATGTTTTATATTTTAAATATTTAGGCAATACATCAGGCTTTATTATATTAATATTAATTATCTAAGAATAAATTTATTTTATTTTTTTGTTCATCCATAAAACTTCTTTTTTATTTTAAAAAATATCACTTGGCTATATAAATATTAATTAATTAAAATTACAAAAACTTCAACATTTTTTTAGAAAAAATAGAGTTTTTGAGACAAATTATAACAACGGTATATAATTTCGTATTGTTTAGGAAAGGACTGTTGATATTATGTAAAGCTTTAAAAATTTCAAGAAAAAATCCCTTTCTAATTTTTCTGTTATATGTAGTAATAGCTTTAAAGTTTATACATATAAAAATGTGTTATTTTTTATTTACTTATTAACATATATCACTATCATAATAAATTAAAAAAAACGTGTGTGTGTGTACTTATGTACGCAACTAAGAAGTTATACTTCTTTGGCGTAACAGAACAAAAATAGCTAAAGATTTCATCCTATATGTCATAACTCTCTATTTGTAAAAAGAATGCAGCTAACTTCATCATGTCGTTTTATGGCTGTCGGTGTGCGCGCGCATCTTAAAATTTTACTCTCATAATTTTTTCCATACGTGCCAAAAGAAGTATAACTTCAATAATAAGTTTACGTTTTCATCAATTTTGTTTCAACAAGTGAAAAGCTAATATATGATTTTGCTATCTCTATCCAATATTTTGGTCCACACAAATCACTGTACACGTAAAAACTGATGAGTTCTATTCAAAAACTACAAAAATAAGCCCAAGTTAGATAGTTCCGATAGTTTTATGGACAAACTTCACACGATGAATTTTTTCTTTACAAAATTATCCTCATCACACAAAACTCTCTGGAAAATCATAATCTACACTCTTAGACTTTTGGAAGCCAACGACGCAATCTACTTTTATCTTTTGGTAAGAAACACACTTTTTATTAGGGTCACTCTCCACACTTTTCGCTTTAGCACTGTTTATAAGAACACTTCGCCTCAAAGAGAAGTTACGACTAGATTGTTCTAATTCAATGTCCGATCTATTTCTAGCACTAACTCTGGAATGTCCGATGAACTTCGTTGTATCGCTTCTGGACTCCCTTTTGTCACTAAGAACGTCTTCTAGCATGCTGCCTTCACTTCTCATACGGTTAATGACTTTGGTTTTCGGATTTGAGCATACTGGAGCAGATTGCTGTCTAACAATTCGTTTGTTTGAAAATATCCTATTAAAGAGTCTATTATTTTCTTCTTTGGTCTCTTTACTTTCAGATTCTGTATCGCTTTTGTCCAAGCTACTTCTGTGGCTAAATAGTTTCTTCAAACTATTCGTAGTTCTAGACAAACTGCTGCTTGTAGTAGAACCATTGGTGGCAGTCCTTTGAGCTCGTCTGTTTTGCGTTCTTTCTGAAGATCTCTTATAGCATATGCATACTTTACAAAAGCCTATACGGAATTTGGACGACATTAAATTGTACAAAATAGGATTTATAGCGGAATTTATGTACAGCATAATTCTAGAAAAATATAATAAGTTATACCACTTTTCTGGACTAACGTTGTCAGAAATTTCAGACGGAGTGACTATAATCCAAAGAGCTAATACTCTATAAGGCATTAAACATAGAAAAAAGCACAAAACTACTGTCCCAAGCATTAAAATAACTTGTTTTCTTGCCCTAGCATTATATGGGTCTACAGTCTTATTTAGCACTACTTTTGAGGCAGCTGATATCAAATTTTTGGCGATAACAGTATAAAGAACTATGAGGATAATTAAAGGAAGGAGGTAAAGGAAAATGATGACCATGACGAAGAAAGTAATTTGCCAAAAAGTGACAGCTTGAGTAAGACATTGATGGAAGGTTCCGTCTTGTCTTGTCACGGTGTGAATTTCAGCGATTGCCAGGATTGGGCTGGAAAGAAGAAAAAGTTACCGTAAAAAACCTAGTTCTAAATAAGTGTCTACTCTATGAAACCGTGGCCTGATGTTTATATGAATTTTAACTCTTATGATCTTTTAAACATTAGTACTACAAGAATTAAAGACTTAAAATAATGGAGATAATTTTTTTTCATATAAAACCATCATGAAAATATCAGACCATGACATTGAAAACTAAATCTAATTTCTGTACTCAATACACAAAACGAAAAAAAATGATATATATACACTCAAAAGATAAGAGATTTCAGTAAATTAATATAGTGGTAGAATATGAATAATAAAATAAAATAATTATAACAGATGTAAAATAAACTTGTATAAAATTATTATTTTAATGAAATAAGATGAAAGTGCAAAAGCTTATGATAATGTGCCCAAAACAGAAAGCGTTCCGTACATATAAGCTATATATTGGAATGTACGAACCTTGTTTCACAAAGGGTTATTATAAAGCTTTTTTAGAACATATTTTTATTTTATGTCCTTGATATAGTTATCCTATGACACTTTTACTAAGTCCTTTTCACGTAAAAGTGCACTTGCAATCCATTTCAATCCATTTTCACAATTAATAATTGCAATGCGGTTCGTTAGATATTTATATAAATATTTATAATAATAATAATTTTTAATACTAGTATAACTGTCTTTTATATCACAATTGGCGCTTTCTATACTCTTTGTGCGGCTGCAGTTTAGAATAGGGGACATTACCCATGGCGGAGTGGGTGATATCTGGTGGGGATAATCTGTGGCATAACTCATATTAAAGTTGGCCTATACGTGAACTTTGAAACTATTAATTCAATAGAACGTGACAATTTATTTAATGTTTAAAGCAGAGACTAGCAATTACTCTTGGGATCTAGATTTTATTAAACCCTTTCATTTGAAGAGTCTTGGATATAATTAAAAGCGAAAACTAAAATATAAAGTTGGTCAATCAGAGTTGTTTATAAAATTACAATTGGTCGTTTGCCCAGTGGTCGAAATTTGACGAACAATACTAGTAATCTATACATATAATAAAATTCTAACTGGTTCGAATCAGTACATTAAATATTTTTCGGAAAATCTTATTATCGATACAAAGGCCGAATCTATAGTTTATAGAATTTTTGTCTGTCTGTCTGTGACTGCATCCCGAGAAAACGACTGGACAGCCTTTACTTAACCTTTACTTACTTTAAGCCTTAATGCGACTCACCCTCGCTCCGCTCGGTTTCGTCCCTAGTTACGTTTTAACGCTTAGTATAGATTTCTCAGAGATGAGATATTTTCCCGCAGTAAAAAGTATCCTATATGTTGACCTGATAACCAACTATCATCATACTAAATTTCATCGTTCTTCCGTAGTTTTACCGTGATGACACGAAGACAGACAGACAGACAAAAATTCTAAAAATAATAGATTTGGCCTCTGTATCAATAATAATGTCTATTTCAATAAGAGTTTCCAAAAAATATTTAATGTACATATTAGGTTAAGTTAGAATTTTATTGTTTGTATAAATTTAAATAAAAATAAAACGTATGTAGAGCAAATACGATTGTTTTATATCGAACGTAAAGCAAGCAACAACAAGCATTAAGTGTAAAAATTCCTACAAATTCAATAGAAAGCCATTTATCCTAAGCCATTTGTTCACTTGAAGAATGTGCTAACATATGCCAACGCAAATCGCAATATGGTCCAGAGATCCACAGAACAAGGAAAGTAATAGAAACGCTATATACAGTAGATAGTAATTTGAATGTAATAAATTCAGTGTCTATCAACAAATAGAAATGTCGAGTTTAATTTTAGATCTTATTTGGCAACATTTTAAGTCGATTTTATATTATTATTAGTAGTAATTTAAAATAATCTCAAAGGTCATGGAACAATGAAGCATTTAATATTAAATAATCATTACATATTTTAAATTAGATTTTTATATGATTTCCATTAAATAGAAAGACGAATCATCTAGGAAGTTACAAAACATTTTGCAAAATCAGAGTCTCCTCAGCGAACCGAGGCTAAGGCTTTAACCACTAGTATTATAAATACAAGCGATTCGATCGTCACGCTCGGGTACGCCCCTAGTTACGTTTTAACGTTTAGTATAGATTTCTCAAAGATGAGATATTTTCCAACAGTAAAAAGTATCCTATATGTTGACCCGGATAGTAATTTTCTCGTGACGTGTTCCCAGACAGACAGACAGACAGACGGACAAAAAATCTAAAAACTATAGATTCGGCCTCTGCATCGATAATAATGACTATTTGAAGATTTTCCATAAAATATAATGTACAGATTCGACTCAGTTAGAATTTTATTATAATATGTGTAGATGATAGATATTTTTTGTCGTCTATAATGGTGTGTATTATTTATTAAGACAGTATTTATTTTTATCAGGTACGTTTTAATTTTTTTAAGTGGAACCCTAATTCTTTTTCTAAAATAAAAGTAGCCTATGTTACTCCCTATAACAGCAGCTATCTTCCAGTGAAAGTCCCGTCAAAATCAGCCCAGCCGTTTCAGAGATTACCCGGAACAAACAGACAGATAGACAAAAATTTTAAAAATTGATTTTTCTTATAATTACCGTATATAATTTCATATGCATTTAGTAAAACGCTGTTATTTTGACATTATAAACATATACTTCAATTTTATTTATCCGTATAGATTAAAACGGTACTATTTTTTAATAAGTCAATGTAGGTGAATACGAAATGTATAATATCATTATTTATAAACCTATGTTATATTTTAACGTAAACTACCTACGATCCTTATAACCTTTCCAGTCACATATTCTTAGAGAACGTATTAAAGTACCACCATCTATTACATATTTACGGAAGAACCAATATATCGGTCAGTATTAGCTCGACTTGGATATAAAAAGTGGAGTTGCTTTTTATAATAAAATAATAGTTTTACGCTTATCTATCTTAATATATTATTATTTACTTAATATATAATATTTTATTAGCTTAGAGCTAACTCCTATCACAGATATTAATATTATTGGTTGCGGGAATATTAGAAGGAAAATTATGTTAAAAATAACAAAAAAACGCGCTGCTTATTTACAAAAACACATTCTCAGATGGTGATAAGTATGTACTTATATGTTTAATCTATACAGATAAATAAAGTTGAAGTGTCTGTTTGTAATGTCAAAATAACTGCTTTTCACTAAATGCATATAGATGAATGTATACAGTATACACGGTACATAGGTATACCAAAACAACGTTTTTTACAATTTTAGTCTGTCTGTCTATTTGTTCCGGCTAATCTCTGAAATGGGTGGACCGATTTTGACGGGACTTTCATTGGCAGATAGCTGATGTAATACGGAGTAACTTAGGCTACTTTTATTTTAGAAAAAAAATAGGGCCCCATGAAAAAAATTTATAACTAATGAAAAATTTAACAATATCCGATTCAAATAGGGTAGTTGCATACATACTCTAGGGACGAAGCCGAGCAAAGCGAGGGTGAGTCGCTAGTCTTGTATCGTATGTATATCGCTAGTCTTACTAATATTATAAATGTGAAAGTTTAGATGTTTGGATGGATGTTTGTTACTCAATCACGCTAGAATCTGGATGAAATTTGGCACAGAGATAGATTATAGTCTGGAATAGCACATAGGCTACTTTTTATCCCGTAAAAAAGTACGGTTCCCGTGCGATAGATTTGTTTTTGTTTTTCTAGAGGCGAATCCGAGCTAAGCGATGGTTAGTTGGCCGCTAGTTAATCTATATATATAGGCATTAGGCTAATACAAAACAGATCAGTACCCTTTTCTCCTCTGTTTGTCTGCTGATTTTCCTTTATTTTTTGTTTTATTTATTAGCTATTAACGAGCTTTAGTGTTATCAATAATAGATTTTTAGAAACAGTTTTTTCATACATATAGATAGGTAAAGACTAATGAGTTTTATTATAATGGTACGGAACTATTCTGTATTGTAAATACATAATATAAAAGTGTCAGATAAATAATCAAAATAAAAATGAGTAGATAAAAATTTGGAAAATGTTAAAAAAACTATGTGTATTCCTCAAATTTTTAATAATGATTGGTCTAACTTGGGCCACTGGGCAAACACTATTTAATGTAAATATTTATTACAAATGGGACCAGAACCGACTACCTGTCAAAATACTTAGACTGAAGGAAGGCTGAGACGAAGAATGTTACAGGCAAAAATATAATAAATGTTGTATTGATATACTCTAATAATACTCTTAGACTGTACTAGTGTATAGTAAGAAAAGGGACAGCGGTTACAAAATTACATATTCCCACTTATCATCTAGAATATATTTATCGCTCAATCAATCATTTTTAGCTTTATTATATATAAATGCGTGAATTACTTGTTTTCATTCACATCAAAATTTACGAGGGTCTTTATTGTATATAAATCATAATAATTCCCGTGGGAAAATAACATAGTAAAATCACTTGGGAATTTCACCAACTAAAATTATTGCATGCTAGTTTTTGCGTGCTGTTTTGCTCATGTGATAGGCTCATTAATAAAAAAATATACGTGGATATGAAAATCTATGAGGAATAGAGGATATAAGTTCTCTCCATCCCGATATATGTTTATGTGTCATTAGCGTTCGGCAATCCAGCTGGTTGTGAAGCCAAGAAACGCACTGGGATATGGGACTCCTTGGTCGACCATGGGTTTCTCCTCATTGATAACAGAATGGACCAGCAACCGATGTTTGACTTGAGTCCATTGAACCCACTTAGAAAAGTTTGACATCTATATATTATAATATTACTTGATATAAAATTGATTATGTATATAAAATTATTTCCTAGCGACTTACGCTCGATTCACTTTGACCTTCACTATAAATCGTGCCAAAAACTTACTAAACTTCTATCCCATGGGAATCCTTTCCATTCCCCGGGAATACAATATTTATATACGTAGAAA